GAGACATTTGGGGGCCCTGAGAGAAATGGCAAAAACGGCCTGGACGTGCTTGACCTGCTCCATTAACCATCCCCGTAACCGCTTGTCTCCAAGCTTCTGGTCACGTGAGACAACTAGAGGCCTCCGCTGTCGGAGCCCTTGCTCCGCAAGGTGTGCTCTTCGGACCCTTAGCATCCCCTGGGCCTTATTATAACTGCAGCATCTCAGGCCCCTCCCCACACCCACGAAATCAGCATCCGCCTCTCATCAAGATCCAGGTGCCTCCGGTGCACAAGACGGGTTGAGAAGTGCTGATTTACCCCACTGTAGTCAGGTGGTCCTGCCACAGCCGGAAGGTAGGTCCGCTGTCACCAGGAGAGCCAGTCAGGGGGTCCTCTCCATCTCTTTCTCCGCTCCTCGGCCCTTACGACACGTCTGGCTCCCCTGGACGCAGACACAGGCAGTACCTGCATGGGCACACATCTTTGTGTTCCTGCTTCCAACTCCCTCCCAGAAAAAGCTAATGAACCGACACAAAACACCAAGCCCACAATGACAGGGCCACGCACGTAATTTGTCAAACTTCGCACGGTCGAGGTCCTCCCCAGTAAAGAAAGCCAAAGTTATTAGAAACAGAATTATTATTGTCATGGTCGCCATTATTGTCATGGGCCTCCAGGGGTACCCTGGGATCTGACAAGGTCAAAACATCAGAGACGGTTCCCAGAGGGCCAATTTAGCATCTTGAGAAGGCACCTGGGGCCAAATGCCTGGGCGTGCTGCCCTCACAGACTCTTAGACACATCGTCCTTTAACCTGATTCTATATGTTCTATCCAACCGGCTGAAAGGCTTCGAAGGGTTCTGTCCAGACACGGAAAAGTGGACTCTCCTTGCCAATGAAAGGTTGGGGAAGGATCAACAGTATCCATACGCACACAGAATGTCCTGAAGAGATTTACCAACTTGCTTCCCCAGGGGAAGGGCATTTCGAAAACAGAGATTTTTAAGAAACTTCACGTCAGACCCTCAAATGGCTCACAGGCCATCAGTCTCTTGGAGCGACAACAACACACATGAACACAAGTATTGAGAGGACAACAGACTGCTGTAATATTTACCTTTACTAAATGATTTGAACTTCAGGACTCCTTGGGGGGAATGAAGTCACAATTTTAGAAGAGATTCAACAAGGTTGATAACTATGAATCAGGTTTTAAAGGTGCCTCCATTACTGATAATCTACTGTCTGCAGTATATTATGAGACATCGACTGTTGTAGGTGACTCTTTCAAAAGAAACAGAGGAAAGAAAACCTCGGTTATCAAAATGACCCAGTATCTAGAATTGTGACGACTTAAATCTCCTGAAACTTTCGGCTCTGTGGTCAAGTCACATATGTGGGTTCACTCTATGGACACTTTTTATTTTCCTGGAAACTGTTCACATGGAGGCCGAGAACCACTCTCATGGATACAAACCTGAAGTCGTAACTCTTGATGTCTCCTGTGGAATTCACCCTGGGGTTCTTGAGATGAGTTGTAGCTCTCATAAACCCGTCTTCTCACCGATGTGATCAATACTGGCCAATGGCCTAAAGGCTTGTATCACTGTGCTTTTGCTTTAGTGACTTCGTGTGATTGCTGAAATCCCCATTTCTTGATGGTGCTAAGTATACCTTAACAAGATACGCTTCCTAGTCCTCCAATTTTTAATTAATGCAACGGGTGTATAAATGCATGTGTGAATGCCTGGACCATTAAGGAGAGGACCTGGACACCCGTCTCAGATGCTATGGGGAAAGGAGACGGAAACTGGAGCTGGGACAGAGAAGTCGTGTTGCTGGCGAGGGAGAACTGCGCACCGTATAACTGCTAGCAGAGCACTAATCGCTGAGTCCTTCTTGCACATCAAAGTAGAAGTGGGAAAAAGAACTTAGAGAACTAGACACACAAAGTGACTGGACAGGGTTATTTCCGAGGGAAAATGGGCAAGATGTGCGTTTGCCCGTTTTTTTAATGTTTATTTTTGAGAGAGAGACAGAGTGTGAGTGGGGCAGGAGCAGAGAGAGAGGGAGACACAGAATCTGAAGCAGGCTCCGGGCTCTGAGCCATTATTTTTAACCTTCCATACCTCCCTTACCACCCTTGGGGACGTCGGTCTCTGATCTGTCCTAGTCACATTCAGAAAATCTAGAAAAGTCTGTTCCCTTCCCAGAACCCACGAGAGGCCAGAAAGAGCACAACCTTTATCCTTGATGAGCTGGGACCTGTCCCCACACCATTTCCCCTGGACTCCGAGGGTCTCTGCTCCAAACACTTCAGGGCGACAGTGCCTGCCGCCTACCCCGTGCCTTTCAGCCCGTTTCCAAAGCCAAACCCTGCCCTTCTGTGGGACAGATGACCTCAAATGGCCTGTGCTCACATCTGACATCCCCTCAGTGTGTCCCCCCCCACACACACACATCCTCAGCTTTCTTCGCCGCGGTGTCTCAGTTGTTGGCCGGAAGTAGCCAACAGTAGCCACTCCCCAGGCTGTGTGGGCTGCTCCAGGCCTCCTCACCTCCCTGGCTCCTGTCTGCCCCCTCCCCTCCTCCCAGGGCCCAGTCAACACCACACAGCACATTCCAACCCCACCAAGGGAGC